TTTTTTTATGTATCAAATAAAACAGACGTAAATTGTCTTCTCTAACGAAGAGCTAACAATCGAAATAACAGCCTCATAAACTTGCTATGGCGGTCAACTGATTTTCCTTGTTAACTTCAAGTTGTTAAATAGCTAAGTGTTGTCTTTCATTGTGTTCAGCTGGCGTGGCCGACATGCAGTGGAGAACCTTTGACAAGACTGCCAGCAAGTCTGCAGACCACGTGAGCTTTTTTTCAGCTGTTGTTTCGCAGATTTTTCTGTAAAAAAAGATCTGAATAGCTGCATGCATGTTTCTCAGTGGATCTTCCTGAGTTTATTTCACTAACTGCTCAGAACAGGTCTAAGTGTCAATGTTGTATGAGTTCCGATTGAGTGTTCTTTGAGCACAAGCGAGAACTGCGCAATGAACAGGTAGCAAATACTAAAGAATCGTCAAAATTTTGGGAAGTTTCCATTTTTTTTTAGCCTCGACTGTGACAGATCCGATCCGTCGATTAATGACTCGAAGTCTTATAGTATATTAGAACAACCTACCCATAGGGACGAATCTGCCTTAAATCATCAGAGATGACTACATGATGACTTTGCCACTGGGAGCAATACAACAAGTCGTCGACACCATTTACTCGGTCGTGATAAATTAAAGGAAGTCCTGATTTTTATGCTTCGGTAAGTTTTTGCAGTTTACATGCGAACGGCTACCCAAGAAATGTGATGACTATATCAGTTAATATTTCATTCACCACTCACCTCTTGCTTGATTGTATCAAACGCGAACGCTAGAGCTAAACTAAGAGATTGGCATGTTTAAAAGGTTGTTAGTACTTGAAGCATTAAACATAATCACGAGCTATTGCATGCGCGCAGGCACTTTTAAAAGAGATCAAAACGTGCTGACACGGAAAAAGCATTCCTTGACCTTTATCGTCAATTGAAGGGTGTGCCATGGTTCCTATGTCCCTCAGCTCAAGAGGGACTTCCGGAAAACCGGGCAGTACCAGAATTCTTGTGTAAAAAATGAATTTTTTTGAGGTTCCGCCGCAACCGCAAATAAACCTACGTAAATCTGCTTTGGGAAAAATAGATAATCCTTTAAGATATGAATCTTTGTGGGAAAAGCAGTTAAAGAACTGATAATCGACGGTATAGGTGGGGGGTCAAATATGCTGAAGGATTAAAAAGGAGTGAAAAAGGAAACTCTTAACCTTTAAGACCCAAAACCAGTGATCATATCAATACCTAAAACATACAAGTCACGGCAATCATATCGTGATCGATCACAAACAGATAAAATGCTTTGATATCTTCAGACTGATACTACAATATATTTCTAGCGGTTGAGTTTCGCTAAGGTTTACAGCTCGAACAGAAGTCTTGCTAAATTGACGGAAGCTCTCTGAATCGCTCTCTCTACTGAGGGGTAGGGGGCAAGGGCGTCCTGTGATGCGTGACAGAACAGTGCTTGAGGCACGAGGAAAGACGTGTTTCCTGGTGGCACCCGTGTCATTTGTCTACGAGCCCTTCAAAGGCGTCAAACTGCGCCTGTTAAACGTAAAACCGACAAATGCGATAAACGTAAAACCGACAAATGCGATTTTATTTTTTTTTATCGTCAAGGGTGGAATGCCAAGCATGAAAGAAAATTTAACCGTCTGCCGATAAATGGGCTAGGAGAACTGTGTCTTTTTGCAGTCATCTCCCCAAGAGGCCCAGACAGGATGTTCCTCATGTATGGATGACACTCGATTTCGTCGTCAATCGACATGACGCCATTTACGGTCGACACAACACACGGTTCTTGTCGATTACGTTCTGTGTGGCCTTCAATCCAACTCAGGCCATCTGATTTTAAAATAAAGTGGCCCTTTTTAGAGCTAGCTAGTAACGAATATGACAATCAACTTCCTTTTCTGCAAGTTTTGCTATGACATTGTCTCGACGAACAGTAAACAAGACCCCTTGAGGTAATGCGCGGCAATCACGCAATGTAAATTTGTCTTATTTCTAGGGTGAGCCTTTTCGAAACACGCAGAGGGTCTGAGTTTTTAGGGTCTTAGTTTTCAAGACACCAAGGGGGTCTAGCTTAGTTTTAGGGTCTGCGTTTTCGAGACACTAAGGGGGTCTGAGTTTTTAGGGTCTTTGGGTTTTTGAGAAACCCAGAGGGTCGGACTTTTTCAGATCTGAGGTCCGAGTTTCCGAGGTCTGAGTTTTGGAGACACCTATTTTGTGCCGCCGGACTCTTTGCAAGAAAAAAAAAAATCAAGGGTGATGAGAACATGTCAAACGAGCAGGTAATGAAAACCGTCACAAAGTACACCGGGTCGCACGCAGCTCCGCGAAACAGAAAACAACGTCTAGATGCGTCTACAAAAAATAAAAAAAAAAACAAAAAACAAAAAAAACCCCGACAACAACAACAGGGAACGAAAGGGAAGCAATCAAAAATACAGACTGAAACAGAAGTGAGCCCAGATTTGTTAAACTTTCCAGTTTGAATAAAGTAGCGAGATTATCAATAAGTTAAATCACAATGTTTTGTTATCATTCTTTTGTCGGCAATATCAAGACCCATCAGCCAAAGGGAAGGAAACCATTATACTGGCTTAACGGTACATACCGCTGTCAGGTTTTGGAAATTTTACCCCTGAACAAGCTGACCTTTAAAAGAACCGAGAAAAAAAAAGGAAAACAGACTGGGTCGGTAAAAATATCTACTCTAGAACAGAGTAGCGGGCAGCGTATTTTGGGGTCTCAGTGAATTATAGTAAGGTTAATATATACTAACCGAGTGGCACAGGATCAAACAAACTTCTGGAAAGTGTCTTTCTCGCCAGCACTCTCGTTCAGCATAGGCGTTCCTGAAGCGCAAATCCTTTATTATTATGCTGATCGGGTCAGAGAAGGCTTGCAGGATTTAATAGCAACTCTCAGTGTAAAATATTGAATAAAGAAGGCCAAGGTCGTGATTGCTGATCGAGAGCGTGAAGAGGCTAATCTCAAGAAATTAAAAAAGACTGTTTTCTCGAATGACGGTCTAGTGTCAAGTGCTTTTTCCGCCATCCTTGAACTTTGTCGAGATAAGGCAGAAAAGATTTTGCTTTGGGATAACACTCTGCCGCTTTTAGCTTCTGTAAAGGAATAAAGCTTGCATCGCATAACGTAGATTGCGTCGACCGACTACCGGTTTCTGCTTGCGGTTGAATTTGATGTCAGGCAAAATCTCCGCGTCAAAGCAAGGCAAGAACACGGCTTGAACATACGTGCACGAAGAAGGAACAAACGAGGGGACGAATATAAGTCATAAGAAGCAATTTTGAATTGGCTTCAATCCACTCAAATAATCCACTCCAAAATAACAAGATATACAAAGGAATCAAGGTTATATGACAGAAAAACAAGAAATGTCCTTCAAGTTACTCAAAAACTTTATAAATAACATCGGTCTCTTAAGCTCTTTTCAGTTTGTGTTGCATAACATAGCTCACTTTTGTCACTAGGAAGTAAAGCGATATCAGAATTGGAATTTTATAACTCCTTTCGTACAATGTACGTGATTCTCCAAGACAATGAGATTCCAAGTTTGGGGACCAAAAATAGGCAGGTATAAACAGAGATCCTTCCGGAAATTATAGCATTCACGTACTTTTCTGTTTTTTTGTTTTGTTTTTTTTTTCTCCTCTTTTTTGTTTCATTCCAAAACGTGACCTATGATAACCTGCTACGAGATTTTCCAAGACGAAACACAGAGGACCCGCTCATGTTTTCTGTCCGACAGATAGCGAGTGATTTATTTATTGATATAGTTAGAATGTTAGTCATTAATTGATCATGTATGTTTTTTTTGTTTTGTTTTTTTGATATTTTTTATACATTTTTCTCGGCATATTAGCTTGACTGTATTGCTAGGGGCCTAATCAGCCTCATCAACCCGATTGAAATAAAGTTACTCACTAAATTTACACGAGGGACACAAGCAGTCAATTAGCCTGCGTAGTTGGCAGGATTTCCCCGAGCATGCTTTGTGCAGAAAACCGCATTGGATTACAAAATTCACACGAAGGACTCAAGCAGCAAATTAGCTAAGCTTCCCGCCCTGTATAGAGGTTGAACCCGATATTGGGCGGGACGAAATTAGGCTGCGTAGTTGGCGGGATTGTCGAGTGCATGCTTTGTGTAGTAAAGCGAGAAACAGACAAATATGTAAACAAAAGGGAAAGAAACAGACTCTCTTGGGGCTCGGTCCCCAACCATAGGGTACAAAGTAAAAGGATCTGAGATCGGGGTTGCAACACGTTCTAAGGCGAGCGAGCGAAACAGACACAAAATACCTCTATCATGTTCTATACTGGGAGGTGAGCATTGTAAGTTTGACGCCCCTGGGGGTCTCCCATATAAAAATGACGGGGGTGCTGGTCGTACCTTTCAGGGGTTAAAAAGCGGTTTTAGTACCTCTTAGGGTGTTAAGCTTCAAAAGGTCCACAGCAGGAGCTTTTGCGGTCCCTTTTAGGGTATTGAGCTGAAAAAATATGACAGGAGATAATGTGTTATGTAAGTATTGGTACTGCTTAGGGGAAAAAAAATTTCAAGCCACGCCCACAAAACAGGATCTTAGTACCTCCTAAGGGTTCTTTTCAAAATCTCCGACGAGCACCCCCGTCTCGAGTGTTAAATAAAAGGCAGTGACGATGATAAGGGGACTGTGAAGTGAGTAAAAAACTGCACTGGAGTGGAATCTCAAGGTCAGTTTAAGTAGCTAAATTCTACAATCGATGATAAAAATCACAAACATTACAGTTCGATTCGGACTTGTTTGTAAAACTGCACAGAGAAACGAAACGGTCAGTTATCAGTTAACTAGTTGAGAAGACAAGTGCCTTTCAAAGAAATTGTCACAGAATGGTTCAAAATATCCATAGACTTATCGATTCTTGCCGCCCATTCAGAATAACATACACAAGCATCCGAAAATTATCACGTGATCCTGACATCATCTGGATATTTCATGTTGCCTAGTTACCCACTAGAGGTGAGATATTTCTGTTTCCCAACAGCTCGTCTAATCAAACTAAGCCTGCAGACATTATGGTCAGCTGACATGTTTGCCATGTAAGAATCACGAATCATCACTCAATTGAAGTTGGCTCTTGGTGTTGTTTTGCTGTTGTTGTTGTTGTGCTGATGTTGCTACTTTCTTGGTGTTTGTCTGGGAGCATGGTGGGGTCTATTACATTGCCTTCTTCATCCCTGGCATGTTCTGCTCTGTCCATTTCATTCAGATAAGTCAAAATTTGATGCTAGAAGGAAGATCAAAAGAATGGGAATTTGATTGAAAGGGCTTTGATTTGATGCAAAATAACCTCCAAAATGGAACAATTAACACTCTCCATGATGTCAGGTAAATAATTTCACTGATCAAATTTGAAATTCATAACCACGCTTTGGAAAATGCAACAAAGTTTGTAACCCTTTTTATAAACACTGGCATCAACCTAGGCTCGATTTCCGCCGCTCTCTCGTGTCCAGTCTATGTTTCTTTGGGGGAGGAGTGCTGGCTCCTTTCCTGAACAGTGGCAATCGAGCCTAGCATCAACCTGCAGGTAAGTGTACAGAGAACTAAAAGTATAATAACTTCTAGGTTTCCCAACCATGGTGCATCTGCAGGTTTCAGCATTAGAATCTCTTACTTGATATCTTTAGTATAACCATCATGGATATCAGGGGTTTCGTTAAGGGCTGAACACTGAGCAAATTGACCAGCTGTGATGATGATTTTGCCCGCCTGGTTTGACCATCTAGAGGAAAGTTTTCCTTATAAAGAAGTTCAGTTCAGATAGTTTTATCCACCTATGAAAACCAGTTGCCCCCCTGCTGAAAATGGAAATGAAACCAGGGCTTGAAAAACGTGCTGTCCAGTCATCTGGGACAAGTATATTTTCCTTCTGGGCAAGTGACTTTTCATTCTCACTTGCCTGATGGGCAACTGGGATCAGACAAGTCGTCTACCAACTAAATCATTAAAAGAGCTAACTAAGACCTGCCCAGGGCAAGCATTATTTGAGAGATACTTTTCTTATGGGGAAGCTGGAATTCAAGTTTTTTTCAAGCCCTAGAAACCCTTAAGAAACTAATTTTATGTAGTCCAAAACTCCTGACTAGCTAAATATTTATTGCAGGTTTCATTGAAAAAAAAAAATGAAAACTCACAAGAACAAGCACTGTTTGAAACTTACTGCCACATCCATCTTCTTGTAACGCCTTATTCTCCTTCTCCTTGTTTCTGGAGCAGGTGTCCCATCTGATTGTCATGAGCAAAATAATTTTAGAAGTTCAAAGTCAACATTGATCAATCTTGTAAGTTTTTTATCAATTAGGCAAATGTGATGTCACGTTTAAACAAAGGAAATCATGACCGTGACCGTGTTATGACATATGATCTTAATTAGCATAGATTTTTATGATTTTATTTCTCTGTTTTCTCCTTAGTTTTGGTTTCGATTGAGAAGATATATCAAACACTCAAGAGAGCTTTTGACCACATTTCCAAACACCTCAAAGTTTGTCAAAAATACTCTGCTGTGCGTCGTATTTTCAACCCTCTTCTCGGTGTTTGGAAATGTAGTCAAACATGGTCTTTCCTGTTTGATATATTACACAAACACATTACAACATAAGGCATAATGAATGATAAAATCTGAGACTCGCTGAGACTGTGACTAGATGAGATTTGTGACTCATCACAAAGGACATGTACACAAGGCATGTTAATGACTTCTTAAATGTTTCTTAGTTATTGCTAACATCTTACACATAGTCGTAAGTAGACATTGACTGAGTGACAGCCAAATGAACCTGTGTACCTATCAGTAATAAGGTGTAAACTGTTTTACACTGAATATGCTATTCATGTCCATGTAAATGTGGAAACTAAAATAATTATTGTAAAAAACAGTAATCCATGGGATGTCTTTTACCTGCAAAACTCCAATCTGGTAAGTCTGTAAGAGGTCCGTAAGCTATTCCATCTCTTGCCTGTCCACGCCTGTCCACAGGAAGAAAAACATGAAAATAAATAATTTGATCCAAAATTGTTTTGTAAGCATCTAGCATTTTACAGACTCATGAAAATGTCACTTTAAAAGATGTTCTAGGAGGAAATCATAAGTACTGATGTTCCAATCAGGTTTTGCAGCAACTGAAGATAACTGTGTAGCCAGTCTTTTTGGTCCCCTCCAGGGTGCATTCAGTGTAGGTTACGCTGAAGATCTTAATGTGGCATGCCACCGGAGTTTTTGGCATATAGCGGTGTGCACATTTATATTTGCGTCTCAAAAATTTACCTTAAACAGACGGTTGGGCATGATTCACAATATTCGAGTTTAAGTAAAAGGAACCTTATTCAACACAATGTAGGCTTAATTTAACTTAAGGT